AATATCTGTAAGCACAAGAATGAAGTTAATGATGATATCATCCTAAAGCTCCAATAAGCAGTCGAAACAAATTAAGAGATAGACATTTTTAGCAAAAGAGAAGGAAAAAAAACCCACAGATATCTTCTGCTTCTGATGTTGTTAGCACTAGCAGCTAAAAAACAGTTTTATTAATTTTAAACCTTTCAAGGGATCACTGTCTTCCCAGGATCAAAGTCTTTTCTGTTTTGCATCTCCTCTGATAAGAAGAAATTGGCTGGTTATCAAGGCATGATTCTAGATGAAAGTTGCAAGATGGTTAAAAAAAATTATGCCATAACAGTAATTGCATGATAATTCTGTGCTACTACAGCCTACACTCCTATTTTGGTTTGATTATTCTGCAACTATAAATCCTGTATACTGGTTTTGTTGCTCCTCTTTCTTCGAGTTCCTATATGGATCCCCCTCCCTCCCTGCCCCCATCCTTGCGGTTACCCTAAGAGATTTATTGCATAATTATTCTGTGCCATAACAGTTATYTTTGGTTTGTCTTAGGATTGAGGATGGCTATTAGGGAAAGGATGTGCCTCTAGGTTCAAGTCTTTAAACCCTGTAGACTGTTCTTATTCTACTCTTTCTTCAAGCCTCTACATGGATCCCCTCTCCCATTCAGGTTACACTCGGAGATGGTCCTACACTCCTACTCCTCCAAGGACTAAAGCTTTTTTTTTTCCAATAAGCCATTTTAAAGATAATCAACAAACCCATTTCCTTCATGAATGTGACCTTTACTTATAGAATGATAAAAATGCTAGCCACCTACACCTACCTTGTCGATTTGTAATGATCATATCCTCATTGAGCTTATTGTAGTGAGAGCAGCACATTCATTATCTACTCTATAAAAACTCAAAAGTATATYCCATGTGGTGGTGGCAAGTTACTGCTGTTTGGTGTTTGCAAAACAAAGGAGACCAACTCTTCTGAACTGGACTGCAGTGCCACAGTGGTGTAATTGAGCTTAACTTGATAGTTGTGCGCTGGATAAGCCTAAACCATCAGACATTGGTGGAGATTTTATAAATCATGAAGGATTTATTCTCTCAGGTTTCTCGGATCAAGTGGGAGAAGGTAATTCCTCAAGGACTTCGAGGTGACTGTCATGGAATGGCATTGAGGTTCAAGGTGACTATCATGTAATGATTGATTGGTGTCTTCGCATTTGGAAAGACCTTGAAATCTCAGATATATGATCAGAGATTAAGGCACACTTGAATAGCTATTCAAGTGGGTCACCAGATTGGCTTGGCAGAAGATTCTTTGGGAAGAAAAAGGTGTCGTGAGCAGTCTGAAGTGTTTCAAGGGGAACTAGACCAAGGGTTGTAACGACAAAACAATGCAATAAATTTATGGAAACAAAATGGGCAACTCATACTTCTTTACTTTATAAATTATAACAACATATGATGGCAAATACATAACTTTAGGTTTGTTAAATCACATGGTTTCGTTCTTGATTTCCAATGATGACTCATTCTAGAAAAAGCATAGACCATGAACAACAAATCGTAAGAAACTAAACGGTACTTCGAATTGTAACGAAAAAAGTAAAAGGGATTCATCAAATTTCAAGAAGGTTCTACCATGTTTCCCTTCTATTTTGTTCATCCTACTAAATTTCTTGCTTGACAAAATAAGACATTCTAATCATGCCCTTCTCAATCCAACGACCCCATCTAAAGCCTAATCGAGGAAAGAAATGACAAATACCTCGTTGATTGCCAGCACTTGCCCATTACTCTTCTTGACTTTCTTGAGCTTCCTCAAGAAGTACCTGGACGAATCAATAAAAAAATAACATGTCAGCCTCATAAGTGTCACATACGCTCATAATAGTAAAAACTAGTCGGAAGAAATCAGTCCTCGTTACAGGACTAGCACTTCATCGGAAGCGAACGATTCATATCCACCGAATTAAATGATATAAAACAAGATACAAGTACTGGGAATCGAAGGAATAGCTCAGATTCGGTGCTTGGGTTTGAGTTCCTTACCAGAACTTCGACTTGGCGCGAACCTCGTTCGTGGCCCAGAGCTTCATCCTGTAGATCTTCGGATGCCGATCGGTCTCGGAAGGGAGCGCTCTCCCGACCACCTGATATTGGTGAAACTGGATCCAGAAACGAGAAAACCATCATTAATGCTAAACGCCAAGAATCACAACTTCAACCAAGGAGAAAAAAAAAAAGGAAATCTAAAGACTAAAGCTACATTTTACGAAAAACTGCAGAAGATTGGAGAGAAGCTCACCCTGAAATTGCCCATTTTCAGATAAGAGAAGAGGCAGGACTCGACAACAACACCCAAGAGGAAGAATTAATAACGGTGGCGGGTTAGTTTCTTTTATGTAGAACAATTGACAAGAGCCCTAAAAACCCAAGACGGATTGGGTTGCTGGGCTGTGCCAATTTCATTCAGTTCTGGGCTTGCCCGGATTTGTAGCAGGGCCCAACAAAGTGCCCAGCCCAAGTGCAAAGGCTAACGCTAGGTCTGGCCGGGCCGGTTTGGGAATTGAGAGGGTTTCAGTTTTGAGTGAGCTGCTTTGAAGAAGCTACTAACGGAAGCAGATCTTCTATCGAATGTAAAATTTTTCTGCCACCTGCAACTTGCAAACATTCCAATTGATTATCCAGCCAAAAGAGAAATAAGATTGTGAGATTTTGCCTGCATCTGAGTTGATACAGCTAGTATTATGAGAGACGTGCAGATAGAATCGAAGAGGTGAAGTAGGAGTATGAGGTGTCTTCAAAATATGATTAAAAACAATATTGGTTTTTCGAATGATCCATAGGTTAGAAAGTTCAATTTCCTTAAAGATTTATTCATTTATAATACAAAGCAAGAGCATACCAGTTGAGGATTTTACAAAGTCCATATCTCTATTTAAAATTTTCTGATCAAGACTATGTAGGCAATCAGTCCAATTATGATCCGTAAGGATATCCGGAATGATCTTCCAAGGAGATGCAAAAAGAATAGATTGCGTAAAAGAACATTTAAGGAACAATTGATTATAACAAAAGACACAATTTTGATCTTGACCTTGATTTATAATTTTGGTTTTGACAGGAAGATAGTTGGAAATGACACGCCAGAAGAGTAATTGGTAGCGAGGGGGACAGTTTAGACTCCAGATCCATTTGATACAGAATTTTAACCTATCACTCAACCGGGATAAATTCAGTTGGATTAAGTCTTTATACGCCATGGCAGTTGAAAAATTCGTTTGTCCAAATCCAAGAAATAGTTGTGTTTTTCAGGCAGAATGAGAGTTTGAAGAATAAATGATTCTTGAGTTGTATCAAAAAGGGTATTGATTAAATGTGAATTCCATTCACCATTTCTCATTATATATCTTGAAAAGTGTATTGAAGAAGCTGTATATTAACAGGCCGATGGAGCATGTGAAAAGAATCATTAATTTGGATCTAGGGTACTTGACAGATTGGCATTGTGGAGTTCATTGACACAATATAACCAACTTCATGAAAAAGATTTTGAATCTTGGGAGTTGTGGATTTCCAAAAATAGAGGAATGGAATGAGGAAAACGTTCATTTAGTGGGTGGGAGATATTTTGATTTCCAGATTTGGGTCCACCACTCGTGTTGCTCATTTAAGTAGTGTCAGGCTAGTTTTTTGAGAAAAAACAAGTTCACTAGTTTGATCTCCCGACATCCTAACCCTCCATGAGATTTTATTAAGGATAATTTAGACCAAGAACACTAATGGTAAGGATGAGGGTTTGAGGATGATTTACTCCACCAGAAATTCTTAATGATACTCTTCATAGCAGAAATTGTTTTTTTCTGGTAGTTGTGCTATAGTCATTGAATGATTAGGAACAGATTGAAGCACAAATTGGATAAGAATTCGTTTTCCAGCTTGACTAATGGTTGAAGCTTTCCAATTGTTAAATTTCTTTCTAAGAGTATCTAAGAGGAAGGAGAGTTGGTTATGTTTGTTTCTACCCCAGATTAAAGGAAGCCCCAAGTATTTAGAATTGTCCGAAAGATTCTTCATTTGAAGCTATCTTCAAATAATTCTTTGATGGCAAGGATGAGTGTTTTTACTAAAATAAACCCTAGATTTGTCTAAATTGATGAGCTGGCCATAATTATGTTGGGAATTATCAAGAATGATTCTGAGATTGTCTATTTCCTCTCGATGGCCCCTCATAAATAAAAGGATGTCATCTGTAGAACGAAGGTGGGAAATGGAAGGTGCTGTATAGGAAATTTTGATTCCTTGAAATTTTTATTCTCCTGTTCAGCTTTATGAATGATACAACTTAAACATCCCATGGCCAGAATGAAGAGGTAAGGGATAAATGATCCCCTTGCCTAACACCTCTTGAGGGTAGGACCTTTTCTTCAACTGACCCATTTAAAAGGATAGAGTAGGAGACAGAAGATATACATTCAACAATGATATGACAGAAATCCTATGAAAAACCAAGGGCTTTGAGAACAACTAATAAAAAGGACGATTCAAGTCTATCATAGGCTTTAGCCATATCTAGCTTTATAGCTAAATAGCCAGTGCCCCTTTTATGGTGTTTTAGATAATGAAAAACTTCATGGGCAACAAAATGGTATTATCTACCATTTGACATCCCAGAATAAAAGTTCATTGATTTGGAGAGATACATTTATCTAGGATAGTACGAAGTCTATTGGCCAGGATTTTTGAAATGATTTTATATAAGACATTACAAAGATTGATGGGCCGGAAATCTTGTACCTTAGTACAATTTTCTTTTTTAGGAATAAGGTAGATAAATGTATGGTTTAACCATCTCAACAATCTCTTATTCTGGAAGAACTCTCTGGCAAAGTCTATGATTTCAGTGCACATTAGATCCTAATATTCTTTGTAGATCAAAGCAGGCATACCATCCAGTCCAGGAGATTTAAGACTTCCTATATTGAATAAAGCTAATTTGATTTCTTCTTCCGAGGGGATGGCAGTTAACATCTGATTGCTAGCTTCAGTAATGATGGGGGAGAAAAGGTCATTGATAAAAGACAAGTCAGGAAAGGTTTGATGGGAATAAAGCTCTCGAAAGTATGAGATAAAGACATTTGCAATGTCCTTGTGCTCAGTCATCCATGCTCCCTGATTATCCTTAATTCCTTGGATGTCATTTCTCCTTTGGCGGCACATGGTGCTTTGATGAAAATAGTTGGTAATTTATTTTGATCCCATGGTGTTGTTTGTTCCACCGAGATGATGTGGGATTCTAAATCATTCAATTTTATCTGGGGATCAGTAAACTTTGTTTTCCTCCAGGTGATCGGCTTTTGTTTAATATTATCCACTCGGGAGGAAATTCGAAAGGCAGCATATCCGTTAGTATGACAATCCCATCCTTAATGATTTCATCTCTGCAAGATTCTTCTACCAACCACATTTCATAGAACCTAAAAGGTTTCGGATATTGAGCTCTCCTAAGAGATAAGTCTAGTACTAAAGGGTGGTGGTCAGAACCCCATTTGGATGCCAGAGATAAGGATGCCCAAGGGAGAGCTGTAATCCAGTCAGGGGTGGCTAAAGCTCAGTCAAGAGTACAGTTGATTAAGCCTATTGATCTTTTATTTGACCAACTAAGTCGGCCTCCTTGAATATGATGTTCCGTGAAATCCTATTCTAAAACTAAATGTCGGTACTGAGTAGAAGTAGATCTAGAGGGTTTGTCAGAGGTTGAGGGATCTGGACAGGTAACATGGCCTACTTCATTTAGGTCTCCTATTAGGAGAAAAGGTAAATTAAAATATTGTAGTTCTTGAAGAGAGGACCAAAAGTTATTCCTATGAGCTTTAATAGAGGGTCCATAAATAAAACCAATGATCCAATTATCCAAAATAGGAGGAGAGGAGATTTTAAGGAAAACATACCTTGATTCAGCCAAAAAGAAAGAAACATTGTCATTATGTTTCCAAAAAGCTGCTAGTCCTCTTGTTCGTCCTTTGGGAGGAATAAAATGAAAGTTAGAATAATGGAATCGGTTGGCCAAAAGTTGCATTTTATATATAGGAATTTTGGTTTCACAAAGAAAGATAAAATCGGGATTATGCTTTTTTCACCAAAATTCCTAGTCCTTGAACTGCCTTGGGACGTTCAGCCCCTCGGCAGTTCCAACTGATAATTAACATTGGCGATCGTGTGGCTTTTGTAGGCCAACCACCACTGCCTTTGTCAGAGAGAGAGAAAAAGAGACCATGAAAATAAATAAACCATGATCCATCGTATCAGTAGGGTTAGCGCTTTTTGTTAGCAACTCATGGTTCAGGGTATTCAGAGGGTTATCATTATCTTGGTTTGGAATGACAATTGACAAGATTCTTTCAGATTGATTACTTTGAGTGTAAGTATCTGGTCAGTCATAAGTGGGAAGATCATTCGAGTTCTCAATTTCTAAATGTTGTAGGAGATCTAGCCTAGGGAATTTTCCTCGAGAAGAAGAAACAACCATTGGGTCTAACAAAGAAATTGAAGTAAGGGCGGTTTGGGCTTAGAAAGGTAGCTGGAAGGTTTATGGGGAAACTCTAAGAGAAGACGAAGCATGATTAGACTGATTGGTGGTAGACGAAGAAGAGATGACCCTAGATAAGGTGGAATCAGTAGGCGTAGAAAGATGATGAGTATGGGGCTAACGTTATTAACTTGGGTTAGGCAAGGAACAAAGTCATGAAGAGATAGGTGTCGCTAGGATCTGCGCATGGGGATTTTAGACCTCATCCAGGGTCCGGGATGATGCATGATGCGTTGATTAAAAAATTGTTCAAAGGATTGACTTGTAACATGGGGGAGGGGTTGAGAACAGCGACGGAAAAAGTGTCCGACTCATCCACAAATGTAACAAGTATATGGAAGATCTTCATAACAGTAGATGACCCAGTGAGTAGCACTAAAAAAAGAACCTACCTTTAGAGGTTGATCAATTGTAACAAGGACTTTAGCATGGATATAGTTTTGAATGACTGTGATTTGCTGGGTGGGTCCTATACTCTCAAAGATTGGATGACCTATATCCACAAAGAGAATCTCATACGGGATGTAGACACACATGGTCTTGCCCTTACAAGAAACAACAAATTGAAGCAGAGATTGGGCATTTGAGAGTATCTAGTGGCCGCATAAGTAATGGGCCATGAAACAATAGGATTGAATGGTGATGTAGACACACATGGCCTTGCCCAATAACAGGCCTGGGCATGTTAGATGGCAACACTCAGGGCGGGCCCAATTAGGGTGCACGCAGAACAGATCTCGTCGTGCATTTTGGAACCAATGGTGCAGAGTCACTTGGCAACCTTGGATGACCGTGCCCCTCGCATACGGGCCCCTCCTCTACGGGTGCTCACACCGAACCGTGGGCATATTTTTTGAACCGAACCGATCTATTCGGTTTTTTAATTATCTCAACTAAAACCGAACCGATGCAACTGATTAACTGATCGGCCGGTTAACTAGTGGACCAATTAACCGTGGTTTGGTTTTTTGGTTTTTTTATGCACTCGAAATTAAAAAATGGAAAAAACCTTGAAGCATTTCTTAAAATTTTCATTAAGCATTTCAATTAACAGTTCCCAAATGTTAAGCATTTCCTAAAAACCTTGATTTTTTATGCATTTCCTAAATTTTTCATCATTCAGCTCTGAAGAGAAAAGAAAAAATTTTCAAGCATTTCCTAAATTTTTTCAAGCATTTCTTAAATTTTTCATCATTCCTAAATTTTTCAACCATTTCTTAAATGAAGTCATAACAGTTGTCAAATGAAGTCATAATAGTTTAAACAAGAAGGAATCATGGGAATAATAAGACACATACTTGGAAACATGTTCCCAAATGAAGTTAGAAAAC